TAAAATCTCGGCATTCCACAATCAACGACTCTGAAAACTACTATTTACAATATACATTTGTCGTATGAATATGTACAAGTATGGAATACATGCTTGCCTCGCAATTTCCTTTACATGCAAGTAATCTCTATTGGTGAAATGACTCAGCTTTCAATTACTGCAACAGAGAAAAAAAAAGCCACTGCCTTTAAAACCTCCAACTTCAAACTATTCTAAGGGGCTGTAAGGAGGGAGGAAGATCCTAGAAGGCGGATCATCCTAGCGCCATATGTTTTCTGTATTCAGTTTACATGCAAAAGGTTGTACTTGTCCCTAGCGATAGGATCTTCCTTGTACTAGGATTTTCCTAGCTGAGAGGAAGGAAGATCCTAGTACCATGTAAACTGCTTTCACTAGGAAGATCCTAATATTAGGGACAAACCGCACAAAAATGGCGGCGGGTCGTTCGGTCGTTCAGTGGGTAATCTTTAATCGCTCATAAGCATACGTACCGAAATTTCTGCATGTAAACCCCATGAAAAGTTGTTCCTCGTTTTAGGATCTTTCACCCTCCACGTAAACAGCCCCCTAACACTAAGAAAGGTGGGGGCATTTGTTTTATTTACGCGATGCGCATGCACCAAACCACCGCATTCACTCGCGTGAGTCTTACTTCACTTCACGCCCAGTGCTCGCGCGCGGGAACACCAATTTCTCTTTATGATGAGGGATCGAAGGCTAAACCCTCAATACTGAGGTACCTACCGTTACAACAAGCGCCTTTTTATCCTCGTCGCTTACTGTCATGTTCATGAACGCTCTGGTTATTTCAAGTGGTGTGCTTTCGATCTCTACGCGCCTACCACAGAAGGTCTAAACACAAGCATAAAATTATATTTTTTAGTTGCTTTGCTTCATGACTCGATACCCGCTACTGGGCCCTTTTCGTTACAATTCGTTTTTGTGTTACCGACCTCTGAGTTTGGGGAGGTATCCTTTCGTTATGTTGTAGAGTCTTAAGTCTGTGAACGACACCCTCACGTGTGACCATTCAAAAGAAAACTATTGAACACTAGTTGTCTGGGTTCTGGGGTACTGTTTATTATGCTGTTCAACGAGGTTCTAACTTTTGAGGTTCCAACTTTTGAGTCTGTGAATGAAATCCTGAAATGTACCTATTTAAATCAAACTGAGCTGCTTAGCAGTATGTTAAAGCAGTGGGCTTTTTTCCTGTACAAGGCAGTATTTTAACTATTTAGTATGTAGACAAACTGATACCAAACAGAGTTTTTAAATACTTTGGCGTCATAGAAAAATATGCACGCTGCTCAGTGGGTAGCTGTTATAAGAATTGAGCTGAAAAAAGAGAACTTTTACCGGAGAGCTGAGATTTGAGAGACAGAGTAGCAAAAACTTAACGCTCGATAAAAAAAAATTGTCAACTATTGAACTTTTTCCAGTAACGTTTTTCCTTTGCGATTACTTACAGTCGTGTTAAGGTCTTCTTGTAATGTGTCATGCGTAATTTCTCTGAAAATCAAAGAAAACGAAAAATCATTAGACATGCCAAAAAGGCAANTTCAACGAGGTTCTAACTTTTGAGGTTCCAACTTTTGAGTCTGTGAATGAAATCCTGAAATGTACCTATTTAAATCAAACTGAGCTGCTTAGCAGTATGTTAAAGCAGTGGGCTTTTTTCCTGTACAAGGCAGTATTTTAACTATTTAGTATGTAGACAAACTGATACCAAACAGAGTTTTTAAATACTTTGGCGTCATAGAAAAATATGCACGCTGCTCAGTGGGTAGCTGTTATAAGAATTGAGCTGAAAAAAGAGAACTTTTACCGGAGAGCTGAGATTTGAGAGACAGAGTAGCAAAAACTTAACGCTCGATAAAAAAAAATTGTCAACTATTGAACTTTTTCCAGTAACGTTTTTCCTTTGCGATTACTTACAGTCGTGTTAAGGTCTTCTTGTAATGTGTCATGCGTAATTTCTCTGAAAATCAAAGAAAACGAAAAATCATTAGACATGCCAAAAAGGCAAGTTTATTTAAGCCGTCGACTCTTCTGTGAATCTTTACCAAACAGCTGAAATAGTTTTCTTCAGGGAGAGAAATTTCGACGCAGAAATTTTAAGTGTTCAAGACAAAATATACTCCCAAAAATTAAGCGATGCGCGTAATTTCATTTACAGGCAGAGTAGGACTCTGGACCTTCTCTTTGCCTCTTCGCCTCCAGAGACTCTCTTTTTTTCTGGGAACTGCCTCTCTGTCAGGCCACACTCCTTGCTTTTACCCGTCGCGCATGGTATCATGAGTATTATTGCATGCATTGTTTTTCATGTTCGTTTACTGCAAGAGAGTGGAGCCTGGGGACGACACAGTTATTTCCGTCACTTCTCGGCAGGATTAGCTTAGTCGGCAGAGCGCTTGACTGCAGAGCGGGAAGTCGCGGGTTCGAATCCCGGGGTGGGACCAATGCTCAGGGTCAAAAAAACTGAGAAATGAAGGTACTCCTTTTACGGTGCAAGCGGCTAGACCTTAACGCGGCTCGGATGACCACGTAAAATGGCGGTCCCGTCTCCAGTTGGAGACGTAACACTCCAAAAAAGTGCATTTTTTTCTCACAGCGTGAGTGTTGTTCGAGCCCAAATCGATAGACCTGTCCTGTACAAGTTGTTTTCAATAGAACATCAGTGACACAAACAGTTAAACAGAGGAAAACTTACTTGGAATGATCACTATGATCGAGCCTGGACGCTTCTATGGCGCTCAGCTGTTTTCTCTTCGCAGCCTGCGGACGGTTCAAAACAAGCAATGTGATTATTGTAAGTGTTCCAAAAAAGGAAATACCTCACTCTACTAAGACCAGGGCTTATTAGCGGCAGATTAGGGTGAGGGCTTATAAACGGAGGGCCTTATATCCGGGGGGTCTTACAACCGGAAGAGAAAACGCGCTTCGGAAACAAGCTACAGCAGTGCTGATCGAAATATGTTTTGCATTTACTCGTTCATAGTTATGCTTCAAAACTTTATAATATATCGAATTCATTTCAATACAAGCTAGAGGGGCCGCTTATATACCGGGGGGGGCTTATAATTAGAAGTATTTATTTGTTTACGGGAAGGTGGGCATAAAACTGGGGGGAGGTTATACGTGACGGGGGTGGCTTATATACATGGGGCTATAAGCGGGGGGGGGCTTATTATAAGCGGCTTGACGGTAGCTAATGCTAACAGCAGATTGCTTGAAATCTTTCGTCTTGTTTATGTCGATCCTTTCATATCGTTTCCTTTATCTATCTTTGCGTCGATAAATTGTTGTTGCCTTTTGTCTCCTCTAAAAATCCTGATCAAACTTGCCTTTCAGAAAATTTTAAGTTAAAAATGGGAACGGCGTCGGTACCCGTAAACAGAAATTCGCGAAGTAAGGAAAATATTGCCGGATGCGGAATGACCTTTATAAAATTGTGAGTATCAGATTGATCTTAAGCACAAAAGGGAAGTAATCAACCTGATAACAGGACTTCTCAAACAATCACCCACCCTGAGAACTGTGTAGTCAGACGTTCGATTGACATAATCGGAGAAATCGTTGAGCGCTTTTTCTTCCTGGCGGTGGTTCTCTTTTATCTGAAACAAAATTATCACTATATTTAACAGGAAGGCAGATGAGATCAGAATCAACTGAAAAACAAAATTAACCGAGAACACATGCGGCAAAGATTTACATTAGGCTTGGATAAATTCTAACAGCAGTGTTTCGAGCAGAATAGGCGATTTTAACACTTACCGAATCATAATATTCCTCTTCTTCAATAAGGTCTTGATTTCGCTGCGCTTGTAACAGCTGATCCTGAACGACGAAAAACAAACACATTTACAAAGTGACCCAGAAGCCACTTATGAGTTTCTGTTATAACTCAGCAAAAACTGAGCTCGTCGCACTACGCTCACAAAATCTGAGAGTGGGGAGCAAGGATTACGCAGTAGTGAAATGTCTCGCCTCCCACCAACGTGACCCGGATTCAAGAAAGAAAATCCAAACTCACGTGATTCGTGATTTGCTTACAAGCATTTTTCCCGCGCTAGGAGGCTAGAGCATGTTTTCTCGCATTGGTTGGGAGTCTGGGTCCTTTGCTCTCATTGGCCAAAGGCAACCTCATTGTTAATGGTCTCACGATATACACACATTCGTTGGTAAAAGAATCCTGCGGGCGACTATATGAACACTTTTCAGCAGTTCTTTCTTTTGACACTATCTGACTTCAGTGTGAGGCTTGCTAGAAGCTAGTCAAAAATTATGCGTGGAATTTAATAAATGCCATAACTACTGTTTCATAAACATTACCTAATGCTAAGAAACAATAATATGAACATACCGTAACTACGGGCCAGGGCTTTATGAATCTTGTCCTAGCATCGCATCCACAGTTAGCCCTAGTCTCTCCCCCCTCCCCTTTAGTTTTTGCCATTTACATCCCTAGTCTCCCTTCCCTGAAGATAACTAACCTGAGTGGCTGACACTCCAGCAGCTCTATCGTTGAGTATTTTAGTGATCTCGTTCATGGAGTCAGCGTCTGGAGAAACAGGTCTGATGTTCTCTAGCTCCAGCTCCATTTTAATCTCCTTCCATACTTCTAACATCTAGACAAGATACAATCGAAAATTATTTGGTTAGTTTTCATTGGACTATAGCCTGCCTAGCTGACGCTCTTGTTAACGAAGGTAAGCGCGAATAATCGGCAAGGTTGTTTGACCGCTCCCGCGGGCTGTTTCGCAGCTACTTTTCTCGCGGCTTTCTCGCTCGTTCGCGCGCACGCTCCCAACAAAACCGCCAACAAAAAGTTTTCAAAAGTTCTTCTTATTTGTTTGTAACGTTTGAAATAATGCTTG